CCCCCCCCCCCGTACCTACCCCCCCCCCCCCCCCCCCCCCCACACACACACACACAGTGACATCAGATGTCTGATAGTTTTTTAATTTTCTGCTATCCATAGTGTATTGTAAATTCATGGAATTAATCACATTTCCTCAGAATGACTTGTTCTGTGTATGTACTTTTAAAAAAAAAGTTTTTGTAAGCTGCACTTTAAAGATACAAGGAAATTACTGCTAACTTTTTTTACTGTTACTTTAATAAATCACCATCGCCACTCCGTTCAAGATATCCTAAATCCGTTCGCTATTTAACATCTTCAGTATATTGGCATCATGTTGACAAAGTTTGGTGTGAACTACTTGTTTCTTCTTTTTCCAGAAAAGTTGTCCGGCTTGATGAGAACAATATATGTACTAAGTTTGGTGACTGTAGGAAAAACTAACCCCCCCACAAAAAACAATACGTCACTTCCTGTTTGTTGCTGCCGTGTGTTTTGAGTTTGAGCTCCGTCAAGTTAATTATTTGTCGTCTAATTTTTTATCTTAAAATCAATTTTATACACCATAATTTTCGTTTCTATAATGTGTGAATATATCCCCTATCTTATTCTACAACAAAAACAATCAGAGCGCCTTGTTATCACTAGTTTTACTTGCTTTAATAGCGGATGCGTGCCTACCTTTGAGTGCAGGCGAGGACACGTTCGAGTGTTCTCTTTTGGAGTCAAGCAAAACGTCACCGGGCCCACTCATCGTTTTAATCATACGCTAGATTTAATTATATCGCATGGAATTGATCTTACTGATATAGATATTGTACCTCAAAGTGATGATGTTACGGACCATTTCCTGGTATCGTGCATGCTGCGTATTACTGATATTAACTATATGGCTCCGTGTTATCGTCCGGGCAGAACTATTGTTCCAGCCACCAAAGACAGATTCACAAATAACCTGCCTGATTTATCTCAACTGCTCTGTGTACCAATAAGTACACATGAACTAGACGAAATGACTAGCAACATGGGCACTATCTTCTCTAATACATTAGAAGCTGTTGCCCCCATCAAATTGAAAAAGGTTAGAGAAAAACGTACTGCGCCATGGTACAACAGTAATACCCATTCTCTCAAGAAAAAAACTCGTAGTCTTGAGCGCAAATGGAGAAAAACTAACCTTCTTGCGTCAGACCAAGGCTGTGTCTCATTGCTAGTTTTACTTGATCTTAGTGCTGCGTTCGACACTATAGATCATGACATACTCATAGATCGATTACAAAACTATACAGGTATTCAAGGGCAGGCTTTAAGATGGTTTAGATCCTACCGATCGCTACCACCTTGTTCATTTAAATGGGGAGTCATCTCAATTATCACCAGTAAAATATGGAGTGCCACAAGGATCTGTCCTAGGTCCTCTGCTATTTGCGATATACATGTTGCCCCTTGATAATATTATTAGAAAATACGGGATTCGTTTTCACTGTTATGCCAATGATACTCAACTATATATCTCAACAAGACCAGATGAAACTTCTAAATTATCTAAGCTAACAGAATGTGTTAAAAATTTTAAAGATTGGATAACCAATAATGTTCTCCTATTAAATTCGGATAAGACAGAGATATTACTTATTGGACCAAAAGACAGTGCACAGAATCTCGTGGATTACAATTTGCAACTAGACGGCTGTACGGATACTTCCTCTACAGTCAAAAATCTGGGTGTTATATTAGATAGCAACTTGTCTTTTGAAAATCATATTTCCCATGTTATAAAAAACAGCATTCTTCCATCTTAGAAACATTGCCAAGTTACGTAATATGTTACCTGTTTCTGATGCAAAAAAGCTAGTTCATGCATTCATGACCTCCAGACTGGACTATTATAATGCACTGCTTGGTGGTTGTCCTGCATCTTCAATAAACAAGCTACAGGTAGTCCAAAATGCAGCGCTAGAGTCCTTACCATCATAATCTTGTACTGCAGTTATATCTGATCAAATGCACATTATTATTCTTTAGTTTGGGTTAAACAAATCAATTTTGCTTGGTTGGAACAGCAGCTACGCTAATTATGTCTCTATTTGTTTATCTGTTTTTTGCCACGGGATTCACATCCCATGGTAACTAGGATTTACACAAGCTTCAGTCTGGATCCAGAACACCTGAGAAGAGATGATGCCAACCCCTCAGAGGACCTAAGATGATGCCAACCCTGAAACAACATACAGAACTACCACATTTTGCTATAAGTTTGATTGCATCATATAATAATTGCTGTTAATAGTGTTCATCGTCTGTTTTATCTGTTATATTTACATCGGCCGTGTTTTGACATTATTCTGATGAAGTTTGAAGCAAATCGAGTAAAAATAAGATGCTGAATTCAAAGCATTTTGAAAATGACACACTTCCTGCTGCCAGTTGGTGGCGCTATAACTTTCAGTCATAATAGTCACATCTATGCGATCGGCATCATACAACGAACAAACCACTGAAGTTTGATCAAAATCAGACAATGTGGATGTTATTAGACACTTTCTGTTTCTCATTTCTCACCATAATTTCATCGCCTTGTCACAGGCAAACCGTTCGAGATATAGAAAAAATCCCTTCGCAGTTTAGCATCCCAATGTCTTGAGATCATGTTGACCGAGTTTGGTGACAATCGGTTTGAAATCCTCAGAGGAGTATATAAAATTCCAGAGCATGTGCTTTTTAAACAGCCCTGAATAGCCAACTTCCTGTTGGGCGGAGCCTATGGCATGTAGTGCGAAAGTTGTTTGGCTCAATGAGATCTATATGTGCACAGAGTTTTATATGAATACGTGCAAATATACGTATGTGTGAGATATACATCAAGTTTTCTGACTGTTTTCCAGGGGGTGCCGTAGTGCCCCTGTGTCACGCCCGGGTCCCAGCTTCTGCGGCGGCCTAATAGCCGCAGATTCCAATGTGTGTGCCAATTTTCAAATTTGCTTCAAACTTCTTCAGAATAATGTCAAAACACAGCTGATGTAAAACTGTTGAGGGGATATTGATATCTAAAATATTGCTGCCATGGCAACGTGTCAAACTTGAATATTCTTTTCTGGTGATTTTGAGGCAGATAACATGCTTAGAATTTCTTGAAACTCAACACACATATCAGTATTAATGATAGATAGACACTGGCAAAAGCTCATAAAAGGGCATGGAAGAGGCACTCTATAGCGCCACCTTTTGACAAAACTTGGGGGTTTAGTTTTAGCCAAAGTGAATATAAAAAACTGGATGAAGAGTAATTTCTTACTGATAAATTCTGAAAAAACAGAAGTGTTAATTATCGGACCTAAAACCCCTGCATGTAATAATCTAGAACACTGTCTAACACTTGATGGCTGCTCTGTCAATTCTTCGTCATCAGTCAGGAACCTAGGTGTGCTATTTGATAGCAATCTCTCCTTTGACAACCACGTTTCTAGCATTTGTAAAACTGCATTTTTTAATCTTATAAATATATCTAAATTGAGAGCTATGCTTTCAATGTAAAATGCAGAAATGTTAATTCATGCGTTTATGACCTCAAGGTTAGATTATTGTAATGCTATATTGGGTGGTTGTTCTGTACGCTTCATAAACAAACTACAGATGGTTCAAAATGCAACAGCTAGAGTTCTTACTAGAACCAGGAAATATGACCACATTAGCCCGGTTCTGTCAACACTGCACTGGCTCCCTATTAAACATTGTATATATTTTAAAATCTTGTTAAATTACTTATAAAGCCCTAAATGGTTTAGCTCCTCAGTACTTGAGCGAGCTCTTATCACATTCACGTCGCCTGTGTTCTCAAAACTCTGGTCATTTGATAATACCTAGAATATCAAAATCAACTGCGGCGGCAGATCCTTTTACTATTTAGCGCCCAAACTCTGGAACAATCTACCTAACACTGTTTGGGAGGCCACCGTAGCCATTTGATAATACCTAGAATAATACCTAGAATATCAAAATCAACTGCGGCGGCAGATCCTTTTACTATTTAGCGCCCAAACTCTGGAACAATCTACCTAACACTGTTTGGGAGGCCACCGTAGCCACCCGATCCAGTCCGTATCCAGATCAGATGGTCACTGCAGTCACCTGATCCAGTCCGTATCCAGATCAGATGGTCACTGCAGTCACCCGATCCAGTCCGTATCCAGATCAGATGGTCACTGCAGTCACCCGATCCAGTCCGTATCCAGATCAGATGGTCACTGCAGTCACCCGATCCAGTCCGTATCCAGATCAGATGGTGGATCAGCACATAGAGACGACCTCAACCGCCCTGAACGTCAGCGGAGATCAGGACACCTAGATGAGCCCGGGAGACAGATCCCCAGTGAGGACCTCGTCACCTAGACAGCCATCGGGACAAGACCACGGGAACCAGATGAGTCCTTTACACAATCTGACTTTGCTGCAGTTGGAAGAAACTGCTGGTTTGTCTATCCAGAGGAGAACTGGCCCCCCGACTGAGCCTGGTTTCTCCCAAGGTTTTTTTCTCCATTCTGTCACCGATAGAGTTTTGGTTCCTTGCCGCTGTCGCCTCTGGCTTGCTTAGTTGGAGACACTTCATTTCCAGCGATATCGTTGACTTGATTGCACAGATACTATTTAAACTGAACTGAGCTGGACAATGACATCACTAAATTCAATAATGAAATGCCTTTAACTGAAAATTGAATGTTTAATCTTGTAATTTTACATTATTGACACACTATTTTCCTATTTTGATATTGTGAAGTTGCTTTGACACAATTTGTATTGTTAAAAGCGCTATATAAATTAAGGTGACTTGACTTGACTTGACATGTGGCATGATTTCATCAGACATCAGTTCATCAGTTTGTTTTGTTGTACGCATAAACTCACTTCAATTGGTTCAGTTTCTCAAGACATTTTACATTTGCATCTCAAGTAAATGTGCCTTACTTTCAGCATATTAAGATACTTGTCAAAGCTCCAGACCACACACACACAAAAAAAATCACGGAGCCATTAGCTCCTACAAGAAAGAAAATAGGCCAAGTTATTTTTAAAGTGAAACATAAGATTAAACACGTTTCAACATACAAAATTGTCAGGCTGCCCTTCAACAAAAACTCAAGATCTTCGCAATTTAATGTCACAAAGGGATTTAGATTAGTCTGACCAAATTTGGTGTTGATCCAATTAAATCTCTAGGAGGAATTTGTTAAAATACAACACCTGAAAATGGCAAAAACGGCAGAAAATTTGCAGAAAAAATTCAAAGTACTTCCTGTTGGGCTTCAGATTTTGCTCCAAGAGACTTTTTTGTAGGTATTGGGATGTTTCATGTGTCTACCTACATGTGTATAGGTGGTGCTATCGAGCCATTTTGCCACACCTAATTCTGAAGCCCATATCAGATGTACATTTTCACCAGTTCTGATGCGTGTGCAAAGTTTCATGAGTTTATAAGCATGTTTAGGCCCTCAAAATTCTCCATTCATTTTGGAGAATAATAATAATAGTAATAATAAACAGAGCAATTCCAAGAGGATCTGTGCACCGCAATGCATGCAATTTTTAATGCCATAACTTTAAGAATTTAAGATTTTCAGCCAGATATCGGACCTTTTTATAGCCTTATATTGAATTCTTGCACTTTGAATTCTTACCTGTTCATTTTGTATAGCCTTTTCAGTCAATTTGTGGGCCTGAAAAGCCTGGTCCAGACTATGTTGAGCTTCATAAAAAGCTTCTGCCGTTGCCTGACTGTGGCACATATGCTGGTGCACAGTTAACATCTGTCTTTCTGTTAACTGTCTGCCGACCTAGGAAAAATAATAATAATGACATTAAAATTATAATAAAATGGAGAATCAAAATGTTCTTGATATTTACACACAAGAGGTTATTCTACATTGAGTTTCAGAACTCAAAACTATCTCCCCAGTATAAAATATGAATTATTTTTTTCTACCCTTCTGAAATGACTGTATTTGAAATTGGGAGAATCATGATGTTACAATTCTCCTCGACACTCCCCCTTAACTCTTTCATCACCAGTGTTTTTTTCAGCATTTTAGATAATTTTTATCAAAATTTCATGGACCCCAGAATAATTTGTTGTATGGATATCTGCACAAACAATATATCAAAATAAAGATCAGAGTTTCTGCTTTTAAAAAAAGTTATTCTAGCTTCATGCATTCCCTTTTTATTCAAAAAAGCAACATTTTGAGCAAAAAAGCTGAGAAAATCATGTTTTTGTAAAAAATTATATCCTGATCAGATACTGAATGATGATCAAAACACAGATCGAGTAGATCATGTTTATCAACACCCCTGATGCTTGCATAGACTTAAACCTCTTCATGAGCTCAACATTCAGTAATGTTAAAAAGCTTTGATTTATATGCTGATTAATTTCTTGTTTTCATATATGTGATGTAGCGTATCAGAGTGAATCAGACAATTTAAGATTCGATTAGAACATTGAAACCTGAGGAGCCGAAATTCCAGGACAACAAGACAATGTCATAAATCTGTCCAGGATACCCTGGCGCCCCGAGCCTGAAGCAAACCTAACCAACCAACTCTTTCACAGAACAGCTTGCAACATTAACACAAAAGAACACTTATTGATAATCCCAACTCAGGAAGGAGTTTGTCAAATGTGGGGCAAGTAACCAAGATTGATGGTCAAAGACACAGCACATCATGACCATCACATGAGGGAAATCATTAGTAGAGACTTCGTTGGGTGGGCTCCGGCTCCCCCACCCAGGACAATAACCAGACTGAAATTCCTTATGAGACCTTTTAACCTCTCTGGTCTTCACAGAACACCTTTCTGTTAACTGTCTGCCGACCTAGGAAAAATAATAATAATGACATTAAAATTATCATAAAATGGAGAATCAAAAAGTTCTTGATATTTACACACAAGAGGTTATTCTACATTGAGTTTCAGAACTCAAAACTAACTCCCCAGTATAAAATATAAATTATTATTTTCTACCCTTCTGAAATGACTGTATTTGAAATTGTGAGAATCATGATGTTACAATTCTCCTCGACACTTCCCCTTAACTCTTTCATCACCAGTGTTTTTTTCAGCATTTTAGATAATTTTTATCAAAATTTCATGGACCCCAGAATAATTTGTTGTATGGATATCTGCACAAACAATATATCAAAATAAAGATCAGAGTTTCTGCTTTTAAAAAAAGTTATTCTAGCTTCATGCATTCCCTTTTTATTCAAAAAAGCAACATTTTGAGCAAAAAAGCTGAGAAAATCATGTTTTTGTAAAAAATTATATCCTGATCAGATACTGAATGATGATCAAAACACAGATCGAGTAGATCATGTTTATCAACACCCCTGATGCTTGCATAGACTTAAACCTCTTCACGAGCTCAACATTCAGTAATGTTAAACAGCTCGGATTTATATGCTGATTCATTTCTTTTTTTCATATACGTGATGTAGCGTATCAGAGCGAATCAGACAATTTAAGATTTGATTAGAACATTGAAACCTGAGGAGCCGAAATTCTACAAAGAGGCCCAGGACAACAAGACCAAGTCATAAATCTGTCCAGGATACCCTGGCGCCACGAGCCTGAAGCAAACCTAATTAACCAACTCTTTCACAGAACAGCTTGCAACATTAACACAAAAGAACACTTGTTGATAATCCCAACTCAGGAAGGAGATTGTCAAATGTGGGGCAAGTAACCAAGATTGATGGTCAAAGACACAGCACATCATGACCATCACATGAGGGAAATCATTAGTAGAGACTTCGTTGGGTGGGCTCCGGCTCCCCCACCCAGGACAATAACCAGACTGAAATTCCTTATGAGACCTTTTAACCTCTCTGGTCTTCACAGAACACGTCCTTATGTCACAGAATGGCACAGAGACTGCCTTTTTACATGAGTAGATGTAACAAAATCATCTTAAAAGGACTTTTGAGCAACTAATAATTTCTATGCACAACTCCATATTATGTATGTAACCCACACATTTGACGATCATGTGCTAATCACTTATTGTGTATGTATTTTGAATAACTATTGAATAGTTTATAGGACTGTATTCATATTGGTATAAAGTATCTTGGAGAGGTGAGGTGTCCAAGACGCAACATCTAACTACTGGGGTGCCTCAGCGCTAGGACCATATGACTGACAAGATAACATGTTGATTTATGCATTGGGAGGAGAAACAGAGCAACACCCCAAGCTAAGACAATATCTAATTGGTCAAGAAACGATTTGGGATGTGTCCAAAAGCCGAGTTTAAAAACTCAGGGCACCATCCAATTTTGCTCTTAGTCATGCTTTTTAGCTTTTGCTTTTAGTCATCGCTTTTAGCCATGCTATTTGTCATCACTTTTTGCGTTCTTTGAGAGCCGTTCCAGCGTGCTTTGGCCTGCACGCCCGCTGCTACTTAGCCATGATGAGAAGAAAAACCATCTAGTCTCGTTACTGCTATTCCTTTACTTTAGTTTCTTTTCTTTCCATTGAGAGTTTCGTGTTCTGAGTTAAGTCTCCGAGTTCAACTCCGACTGCG